AGATAGAAAGTCACACACACAGGCAGGCAGTCACACACAGACAGATAGTTACAGACAGACACACACAGGCAGGCAGTCACATACAGGCAGTCACACACACAGGCAGTCACACACACACACAGTCACACACACAGACAGTCACACACAGGCAGGCAGTCACACACAGAGACAGTCACACACAGAGACAGTCACACACACACAGAGACAGACAGTCACACACACACACACACACAAGGACAGGCAGTCACACAGACAGTCACACGCACACAGGCAGGCAGTCACACAGACAGACAGTCACACACACACACAGACAGACAGTCACACAAACAGGCAAACAGTCACACACACACACTTACCTCTTTCCAGTGGATGCAGTTGGCTGATGGGAAGCATCTTTCCCTCTTCCTGTACAGCAGGGGCTTCGGGAGGTATTAGCCCCGTCTCCGCCTCTCGATAAGCCCCGCCTCCGCCGCTCGGTAAACCCCGCCCCCTCTGCCGCGATTTTTTTTTTTTTTTTTAAATAGACCCGGGTGGAGAATAATTAATCCTCCAGCCAGGTACCTCTTTTAGCTCCCCTGCACTCCGGCCATGAGTGAGCTGTGTCGGCCACAGGGCGCCCCCTGTTCCATGGCGCCCTGTGCGGTCGCACAGCTCGCACACCCCTAAGGCCGGCCCTGTGCGGATGGCATCCTCCTCACGTTGCAAAAACCACACATCTCCTTGCCTACACTACACAGCCTCATCCAACAATATGGAAAATGCTCCTATTACAAATTAAATACAACCAAGACACAAGCGATGGGCATTAACGTCCCAAAACACACACTAGCTCACCTAAAAGAGACATTTGCCAAGAATGGCGCACAGACTCTCTCAAGTTTCTGTGGATAACCCTAACACAGCATATATCAGGTCTCTACAAGGCAAACTACCAACCACTACTCAGTGACCTGAAAGCCCAAATACACAGCTGAAATGGGAAATTCATTTCATGGGCAGGCAGGATGGCGGCAGTCAAAATGCTACTCCTCCAAAAATTACAGTATTTATTTAGAACCATACCACTCGCAATCCCCACCCGCTATCCACGCGAGGTGCAGGGACTTGTAAGTTCCTTTGTCTGGAATAACTCCAGACCCAGAATCACAAAGGCCACCCTCCACTGACCATTTACACAGGGGGGCATGGGCCTACCAGACATTGGGAGTTACTTTAAAGTGGCAATCATTTGCCCAATACTATCGGCCAGTGGCCACCTCGAGCCCCCTCAGTGGGTCCACATCGAATTGATTTATTTCTTATGTAAATGAAAAAAAATGTGTTCATAATTATAATTTTTAACATCTGGAAGTTAGTTCCAATATGTCCCTTTCAGTTGCGATTATCTTGAATGAGCATTCAGATTCATTAATAGAACAATGATGAATTAGGTTATGACTTGGGTATCCACCTTAATTGGCATGGATTAATGCAGATAATATTGTTGTAGCGGAGCACTCGTTTCCCATAGACTTCTCCGCTGGTATTCCAATAGTAATGCAGGAACAAGAAGTTAACCCAGGATAAACAGCATCAGTAGTAAATAAAATAATCCCGGAATATCCCATTCACCTTTCCCAATAACTGGACGACACACAGTATCAGGAGCAGAACTGCTGTTTTATTCCACATACCCTGCTTTTATGCATCTCTCCCATGCAACGGAGACACCCACAGCAAATTATACAGTAACCAATCATACACAAGTTACAACCCACCCATCTCCTCCCCTCAGCCTGGCAGATAATCCAATTATTCTGTACATACTTTTCCCCGTTTTCTAGATGTACCCCAAACTAATAAGATACACCCCTAAATCTTACATCCCCTGGTAGCCCTGATCTGGGTGAGCAACATACTCAAAAATCACCCAGATCGGACCAGGGAGTTACATGGATGTGTTTGTTTGACCGACCACACATGAGGCAGTAGCTGAAATCAGTTCCACACATTTTGGCCTTGTGGTCTGTTTATGTTCATGGGGTGAAATACATGAAAATACCGGGCTGAATAGACTGTTGTACCTACCGTTGATGGACGCTTCCTAGCTTGCGCCGAGGACCACAAGCACTTCACCGGACACCACAACCACCGTAGACTCCACAACCGCCGTAGCTTAACTGGAGTCTCGCCATCTTCTGTCCACCCTGGATCAGCTTCTGTCCTCCAGGACCGTGTGGGGAAAACCTCTCCTCCAAGAGAATGTATCAGGAACAAGCTCTTAAAAGCTATGGGGAGTATGCAGAGCATAGCAATCCCCAGTGTGAGTATAGCTGTCCTCTCCAATCACGAGACAAGACTACATGTTGAGGGTCAAGAAGAACTGTGTTTAATTAGCACCAAAGGGCCTTCTTTTATGGAGGTCTTACACATACAGGACCGCCCACAGGGTTTTTCAGAACAACCAATAAAAACATTACAACACATACAATAAAGTAAACCACTCCCAGCAGAAATACAATTATCTCAACACAATAGACTAACTTAATTATCACTGGCAGAAAATATACAGTTTTTACACAATCCTTATAACTTTAAAAGTATACATGCAATATTAATAAAAGTTACATATTTGAAATCAGCGTCCTTTAAATATAAACAAATTCAATTCATAAAAATCCATCCAATAGATCAAATGTTAGCTGGAAGTCCTTTCTGACCGACCGCAAGCACATGTTCATGCCCAAAACAGTTCCATGGATTTGGCTGTGCGGTCGGTCTATTTTACACTGAAAAAATGACTAAGTCCCATTCGAACGAGCCGCAGTGTTGAAGTGCAGGAGAAGGTAGGGGTCAGCGGTGTTCGTTGAAATGTGTAGCCAATTTCAGTTCCATGGATTTGGCTACACATACCACTGACCTCATTCAAATGAACAAAGATGGCCACCGCCACATGTTCGTTTGCACAAACTGCGACCACCCAGTGGTCGGCAATTTACCTACAGCAGGCTCCCAGCCTGGGAGGTAAATTGATGGCACACTTCCACCGCCTGTGTGGTACTTGGTTCAGTAAGCCCCATTTACTTAACCAAGTGTAAAGAAGCCATGAATAAACTACTTTAACCAAGTCTGGGCACACTGGGGACAAAGGCTTAAAGGGGCAGTGTCCCAATTTTCCCCATGTCCCAAAAATGTGCTAATAGGGCCAGCACCAGTCCATAAGCCCAAATAGCCTTTTTTAAAGGGTCATACACCCCAGGGCCATAGTCACAGGGGAGGAGGCAGGCAAGCAGGCCTCTCCAGGACCAAGTGGTGAAGGGCACTTTGTCACAACTGTGTTTGGATTCGTATGAATCCCCTTGTTCGTGGTTCCATTCGGTTGTTTCTGCACGAATGGATGGAAGTCTGGAGGTCTCAGCGGAGTTCGCGTGGTCGAGTGTCCGATTTGGGTTCCAGACACTCGATGACCAAACACCGCTGGGAATTCGTATGGCAAGATGTCCGCCGCCACGTGTTTGTATGCCGAACGGCGGCCACCAATGGAACACACAATATATTTGTATAATTGCCAATTATGCTGGTGTTAATACCGATGAAGGAGGTAAACTAGAGGCACACTTCTCCCTGGGGTGGTCTGGTTGTTTGTTAGTTTGTTCTTATGTCGAACGGAGTGGTTTTACCGAACAACCAGGCGAATGCTTCATACAGTATATTGTATACAAAAATGTGAATGAGACGAAAATGACATTGTAACAAGAATATTTTGAGACAGCCCAATACAGTGCGCTACAATTGTACTTAAATATTGTATTTAGATAATAGGATACTGTTAAAACTGAGTTCATTGATTTTTGTGCATCAGAATATGATTTTACAAAATGTAATATCCTTATATAATGTAACAAATATTTTGATGGAAAATTATGATGTATACTATAAAGTAGTTTGATGGAAATAAAACCACTTTAATCTATGTATGCTAGAACATTACAAATGTATAAGTAAGGTATATATCCAGTGTATGCTTGTTTCTTTTATGCATGATTAAGGGGATCTAACTGAAATGTTGCAGTATTTTATATTGAGGAAAATTACCCTCCAATAAAGGAAAACCAGTATGGACCCTGGAGTGCCGCCTATGTTTCTTGTTGGTAAGTTTTAAGACATATCACACGAAGCATCCCATATTATATTTCATTTGCATTACTACACCATCAAAGAGATAATTTTGAGACATTTCACACAAAGCATCCCATATTTAAATTCTCCCTGATCTATCTTGAACAAGATTACATGCTTACTGCAAACTAAAGCCTATCACAAATCTGATATTGGGTATTAAAAAAGGTGGGGCTTAATTGTTAGTAACAAAGGCACCACCATTCTATACTAACCTTGAATGATGTGAATCCTTTTCTCTAGGCTCTGGATCTCCCTCCATGCACAATTGAAAATGTATATATTTTTCGACACTGACGCCATCCACCCCTTTTGCCTAGAAGACCATAATGGCAATGGGTGTTTTAGAAGAGAACTTAATATCGATTATGGAGAATGGAAGTTACTTTCATACATGCACTAAATATTTCCTACTTTCCTATATGCACTAAATAGTTGGTTTTAAAAAAACAAAACATGCCACATTAGTGATGTCCATTAGAATTATAGAAAAACGTTACCATGCACTTACTAATGAAAAAATTAAAGGTCACTAATGGAGCCATACAATCATAAGAAAATCTAACACACTCAGACTTTTCAGTCCTTAATCATAGGAAACATTTGCCTATGATGGCCTTCCCCAAACTGGCACTTCTGTGTCTCAAATTTTCTGTTACGTCTCTAAATGAAATAGAACTGACACTAGCTTCCTTATTATTGTCCAGTCCTTATGTCCTGGAGG